CGATACACGTAGCAGACGACAGGCGTAGCAGACGATACACGTAGCAGACGACGCGCGTAGCAGACGACAGACGAGCGCTCAGATGCAGAGGTCGGCATTTTAGGTCGCCCTCACTCACCCTCACCCCCACAGCCACACTCACCTCAGCCCCTCACTCACCCTCACCCTCACAGCTACACTCACCTTCAGCCCCTCACTCATCCTCACCCTCAGTCACACTCACCTTCAGCCCTTCACTCACCCTCACTGAACCTCACGGCCCTCACGCACTCACCGCCCTCACGGCCCTCACCACCCTCACGGCCCTCACCACCCTCACGGCCCTCACCGCCCTCACGGCCCTCACGGCCCTCACTCACTCATGGCCCTCACGCCACTCACCGCCCTCACGCCACTCACCGCCCTCACCGCCCTCACGGCCCTCACCGCCCTCACCGCCCTCACGGCCCTCACGGCCCTCACGCACTCATAGCCCTCACGCCACTCACCGCCCTCACCGCCCTCACGCTACTCACCGCCCTCACGCCACTCACCGCCCTCACGCTACTCACCGCCCTCACGCCACTCACCGCCCTCACGCCCCTCACCGCCCTTGCGGCCCTCACACCCCTCACGCCGCTCACGCACTCATGGCCCTCATGCCACTCAGGCCAGCTTCAGATGGGGCAATTTCGCCCAGAAACTTTACGTCGCAACACCAGCAACACGGGCCGTCCGCGATCACACGCAGCAACCAATTGCTGCAATTTGCCATCGTCATCATAAAATTTTATTTTTCTTGCACTATTTAGACACAATTACGCGTTATAAACGTGTTTTTTCTTTTTTTTTGCATTTAGATCTCGTTAAGAATACTAATGCACCTTTCTGAAACAGTTTATTTCCAAAAAAAAAAAAAACGATCGATTTCAAACCAGAACCAAGTCTTTCGGTGTCATTATCACCGGCACGAGGTATCACGTGAAAATTTTGCGTCCCTGATTGGATGCAGCCGCTTCAAACGTATTCGAATTGCTCCGAGTTGCTTGCTTATTTCGAGCCGGACCCGATCTCAGCAATTCGTGTCGATCTAGGGAAAGCTAGAGAACAACCCGCCATTAACACCAAAATTGCTGAGAAAGATGCTCGATCTGAAGGGCGCCTCACGCACTCACTGCCCTCACGCACTCACCGCCCTCACGCACTCATGGCCCTCACACACTTCATTCACTCGCCGCCCTCACGGCCCTCACGCCACTCATGGCCCTCACACCCCTCATGCACTCACGCACTCATGGCTTTCACGCCACTCACCGCCCTCACTCCCCTCACGCACTCATGGCCCTCATACCCCTTACCGCCCTCACCGCCCTCACAGCCCTCATGGCCCTCACGCCCTCACGGCCCTCACGGCCCTCACTCACCCTCACACTCATGAATTTTCCTGGTTCAGAAACTCACTCACCCTCACCTCACCTGTGAAGGGGAGGGTGAGTGAGGGTGAGTGAGGGCCCTCATGAGTGAGGTTTGCCGAGGTATGCTCAGATGACGTGATGCGCGCGACGATCTCGCCGCACGCGCGATGCGCATGCGCAGCAGTTGCGCGCCAGTCCGGTAGAGACCGCTGCCACGCGCTCCGGCGTTCCCGCTAAAGGCGCATTCACACTGAGAAAAAAAATGAAAGCCGCTTACAACTCCCTGTAACGCCGAATTAGAGCGCAGCTCTTGAGGAGGAGGAGGGAAGGGCACGGGGGGGGGGGGGTAAACTAACCAGGGGGGGGGGTCACGTGACCTTGGGGGTCACGTGACCCCCAATGCCGATGATGTCATCACTGACGTCACTGATGACGTCATCCGTGACGATGACGATGCGGGTACCGATGACGTCATTAGTGACGTCACTGATGGCTTCACCAGTGATGATGACGATGACGATGCGAATGTCGGTGACGTCATCAGTGACGTCGCTGATGACGTCATCAGTGATGATGACGATGACGATGCGGATGCCGGTGACGACATCAGTGACGTCACTGATGACGTCATCAGGGATGATGACGATGACGATGCGGATGCCGGTGACGTCGTCAGTGATGATGACGATGACGATGTGGATGCCGGTGACGTCATCAGTGATGATGACAATGACAATGTGGATGCCGGTGACGTCATCAGTGATGATGACGATGACGATGTGGATGCCGGTGACATCAGTGATGATGATGGGGATGCCGGTGACGTCATCAGTGATGATGACGATGACGATGCGGATGCCGGTGACGTCATCAGTGATGATGACGATGACGATGTGGATGCCGGTGACGTCATCAGTGATGATGACGATGACGATGTGGATGCCGGTGACGTCATCAGTGATGATGACGATGACGATGGGGATGCCGGTGACGTCATCAGTGATGATGACGATGACGATGTGGATGCCGGTGACGTCATCAGTAATGATGACGATGACGATGCGGATGCCGGTGACGTCATCAGTGATGATGACGATGACGATGTGGATGCCGGTGACGTCATCAGTGATGATGACGATGACGATGTGGATGCTGGTGACGTCATCAGTGATGATGACGATGACGATGTGGATGCCGGTGACGTCATCAGTGACGATGACGTCATCGGGGGGTCACGCGACATCGGCGGGGGTCACGTGACCTCGGGGGGTCACGTGTACGACGCTGTGAAGAGTAGCTTCACAGCGTCGTACACGCACATAAAACACTGCTCACAGTCAGATGTTCCAATCGGCTTGCTTCTTTCCACGCTGGAATACTTCCAGCCACGTTTGGCGAGTGTACGAATCCCCCGAGCTCTCAGTCTTTTCGCCTTCATTGTGAGTCAAAAATAAAAAAAAAAAAAACAGCGAAAACATGTCCCATCCGGAAAAGGGCGGTACGTCACGTCCGGACGCTCGCTGATTGGCTCAAGCGCGCGCGTCGAGGGAGAAATTGGGTTCCGAGGCGTCGTCTCCCTGCGTCGTCCTCCTCGGCGCGCGACTTTTTTCAATACAAAAATAAGCTAAAAATCCCCCCCCCCCCCCCCGACGCGCGTTTTTCCGCTGTGTGAATGATCAAGATAGTACACTGTACTGCTACGTCACGACTACGTAGCAAGTTCCCCAACGTTGCTAGATTACCTCCCAAATAGGCTCCGCATGCATCCACCAGGTGCACTTTGAAAGATCGTTTATTTAGCTTTAAATTTAGTTTTCTTGTGCCTTTCAATGGAAGACTGGTGTTTTTGAGGTTAGAATGCAACATGCAACACATTCAAGCTAGAATATGAGCGCTAGAATTTCGTTTTCCTACCCCTTTAAAGGGATACTACAATGAAAATTCGGCGCTTATTTTATGGCCTATATGTGTTCAAAGGAGCAGTATCACATCAAACACACCAATATCTTGTTACAAAAAGTCACGAAAAGGAATTTTAAAACGAATTAAACAATTAGCTTAGAGACCTGGTGGATGCATAGAGATCATATACTAAATCTAGAGGAAAAGGTCCGCCATTTTCCCCTACATTCTGGCTGCCGCAAGCGGCGGACCATGCAGGCAGACCCTCTGGGTCCCAAACACGGTTACATCATCAGAGCAGTTTCGTGAACTTCAACAATCCACGAACTTACCGGTGAAAAGATACTCGCGTTCTTTTCGAAGGTTTCTTTTTGCATAGCGCGCAGATGTACGGCCTCGCGTTAACGCTAAACTAAACCGTATACCCGGCTTCGCTGGTGGGGCGCGGCTGGGCGCGGTTGAGGAATACGAAACTGCGCAACTACCAGATTTCCGAGATTTCGACAGAAGGGAAGTTAATGCAGCGTAATGACTTTATTGCTTTTTATAAGCGTTAGAATAGCTCAGAATTTAGTTTACAACGTTAAATTATCACTGTTTATATTGCTGAGAGTTTTCACTCTTCGTGTTTACCATGGCAACGTTGCTTTCTTTCTCTCGTGTTCTGTCGCTCTCTTTTGCGATCGTTCACTCGGGACCCAGGATGTCGGCGCACGGGATTTGCCACTCCTCCTCACCCACCTTTACCCCCCTGGGTGGATGTCACTAACGCCTTGCTTGTAATGCCCGTCTAGGAACCTTGACAGCTAATGACGGTGAGTGTCTCGCCTCCGGCCACGACGAGAGAAGAGGGGAAGGAAAAACTCCCGTCTTCCCGAGAATCCCTTTTGAGTGTCCAGAAGTAGCTATTGTCTCCCCACAAGATTATAGAAGATTAACCCGTCACTCAAAATTCGTACAAAAGCAGCCGCTTCGGTGGCTGGAACGACTAGGCCATCCCCTCGACGGTAGCTTCGCTGTAGCTTTGCTCGTCCCGAGACGACCTACGTCACGATTGCTTCGGATGTCACGTGCTCTAAGCTGGGCCTTCTCCGGGCAATCGCTAGAGTGGGCCGCTTACAACAAAAAAATACAGCCACCAGGCTCAAAATACAAACGTGCGATTGTCATTTACAGATATTGTGGATCATATTCAACCTATTTTTGAACACAACCGATATATTTCAAATTTCGTTGAAGTATCGCTTGGACGCAAGCTTTTTGACGGGCTTATTGAAAAGCATCCAAAAAGTTTCAGTACCGACAACAGCTTAGAAACGTCCTTGCAATATTCGTCGCCCTACTCCGTTTGTTGTTCGTTTTGTAGTAAAATAAAAAGAAAAGAAAAGAGAAGGATGTGAAACCAGATTTTCGCCAACTTTATTTCCGTACTACAAGGTTAAAAATATGCAAAAGTCTGCATGTTATCACTAAAAATTGCTACTGATGGCAGCGCTTAAGACTAGCAAGCGGCGAAAAATCAAATGACCGTTTCTGATGGGGGGGGGTGGAGTACATGAGATTGTCTCACCGGATGCTGCTCCCGCGCTTCGAAGCATGGCGACCGCGGCTGGTTCAAAAATATTTCAGAATATCCCTGTACCTACCTTATTCATACTTATTTCCTGCTTGGTTTAATTCGGAAAAGCAAGTAAGCCTGCTGAGATGAGTTCGCGTGCTGCGTTTATTCACTCGAACCAGACATTTGGCGTAGGATGCAGTCGGCAGTCGCATTCGACCCGCTTTAAAATTCCTGCATTTTCAGATTTCAGACAATTTGCGGACGAGCCTCTGCAACTAGTTAAACCAGACCTATACCACAAAAGGCTCGTGTTGGTGAAGGAAAACATAAAGGTGAGGAGCTTACATTTCGAGGCTTCGGCTTCATTCATTCCGTGTTCGACCGCCGATGATGACAAATCTCTGCGCAAATTTGAAGAGTCTCTGCCGAGAGTGTCTTCCACGAAGGAAGATCACCGCATTGAGGCTCTTTGTGAAGAGTTGAAAACGTCTGAGTGTGGCAAGCTAACAAAGAAAAATAAGAAAAAAGTCACGATGTGGCGCGTTTTATTGCTCTATGGCGGGTCTTCCACAATCCGATTCATGCTTCGTGTGGGGTCTTCCTCGCAGGTCGTGTCTAAAATTGAGGGGCCCGTGGCGACCATAGCCGTCGTCGGGAAGTTCCACTCCGGCAAGTCTTTCCTCATGAACCAACTGATGGGGAAGACCAAGGGATTCGGAATAGGCCCCACGGTCCGACCTGAAACGATGGGCATCTGGATGTGGCGACAGGTACTCATGATGACCGTGGCCGTGGCTATTCCCCTTGGAATTGCACGTCTATATTGTTCGATTTATTTATATATTTTTTTCGTACAGATTGCATAACTGTTGACGCGGTCTCATACTGTATCGTTTATGTTTCCTCTGAATAGTTTCCTATGCTATGCCATCGCTCAGAAAACTCGTTGTGAGCATTTGTTTTATACGAGTTTAGCGGAGTGCATATAGCCATTTCCGTCCGAAGTGCACTCCGGAGTGCATACAGCTTTACTCAATAGAGTGTGATAATATTTATGTGCTTACTACAATGTGATTCTGGGTGGCGTGCAAGGCTGTGCAGAAAGGTTAGACCCCATACGCGAGCACGTCTACCAGCCCGCCACTCAAGAGGTAGGGTCAACGAACGTTTGTCTTTCGTGGTTCGCTTGCTTCCTGGTGTTTTTTTTTTAGAGCGCAGCTCTTAGGGGCCCGTTTCCGGCTTGAGCGGCGTCGGCGTCGGCGTAACCGCGCGCTGCATCATGGGAAATGTCCCATAATGCACCGTGCAAGCCCCCCACCGGGGTCACGTGACCCCCCCGAGGTCACGTGACCCCTGAAGTCACGTGCCAGTGACGTCATCAGTGATGATGACTATGACGATGCCGGTGACGTGACGATGACGATGTGGATGCCGGTGACGTCATCAGTGATGATGACGATGACGATGTGGATGCCGGTGACGTCATCAGTGATGATGACGTCATGATGACGATGACGATGCGGATGCCGGTGACGTCATCGGTGATGATGACGATGACGATGTGGATGCCGGTGACGTCATCAGTGATGATGACGATGTGGATGCCGGTGACGTCATCAGTGATGATGACGATGACGATGTGGATGCCAGTTACGTTACCGACATCCGCATCGTCATCGTCATCATCACTGATGACGTCATCAGTGACGTCACTGATGTCGTCACCGGCATCCGTATCGTCATCGTCATCATCACTGATGACGTCACCGACATTCGCATCGTCATCATCACTGGTGAAGTCATCAGTGACGTCACTAATGACGTCATCGGTAGCCGCATCGTCATCGTCACTGATGACATCATTGGCATTGGGGGTCACGTGACCCCCCAAGGTCACGTGACCCCCCCCCCTGGTTAGTCTAACCCCCCCCCAGCGCCCTTCCCTCCTCCTCCTCAAGAGCTGCGCTCTAATTCGGCGTTACAGGGAGTTGTAAGCGGCTTTCACTTTTTTTACATACCTTTTTTACGCTGCCTTGCTCTTTGTGTTTTTGTAAACAACAATAAACAATTTTCTCAGCGGTATACTCGACACATCTTGTAGCAATACAGGTTGTAATCACATTTTTACTGGCAGCAATGTACCCCTCGGGTTCAACTAAACGAAAGCTGAACAGTTTTTTTAATCGCAGTGTCTAGAGTTACGTCCGAGAGAACCCAACGTCGCTGTACATATATTTATTTTTAATTACATCCGACATAACCCTAAAAGAAGTTATATCCGACATAATGTAAAATAAAAATTAAAGCTACGTCCGAAATAACTCTACTTAAATATTTTATGTTATGCCTGGCGCAATTCTAGTTTAGTACTTAAAATCATGTTCTGACTGTCCTGAAATTTTGAAAAAAATTTGTGAAATCTCTAACGTCAGGGTTCATGCCTTCACCACTCTTCAGTGGCAACTTGATTTAGCGTGTAGCCGTGACACAAACGCACTGGGGGTTCTCCGCTCTTTGACCGTGGTATTGGCATCGCATGCAGCAACCAGTTGCCAAATCGTTACAGAAAGTTTGAGTATGTAACCTTCTAAGAACTGCAAAAGAAAAAATATAATGTCACCTCTTTTGCGTGTTGAAACCAACTGAATGCAACGACTTTGTCCGGCCCCCTCTGCCATGACGTCAACTAAGGCCCCGGCTGAGGGGCGTGGAACTACGTGATTTTATGATTACAACATCGTAACTTCATTTCAGTTTTGTATGAATAATCTGACAAAGCCGGACACAAGACCCAGTTTCCTAGTACGTGGGACGTAACCTTAAATTGTATTGTAGGTTACGTCAGACGTTACTTTAACTTTTGTTTTTGGGTTACGTCGGACGTAACACTAGACACCACATTTTTTTTTTTAATTTTAAAAAGCTGTAAGAGAGTAAAAATTACGTCAGATGTCACCGATTATGTGTCGACACTTTTTACAGTTAACGGGGGGAGAGAGGTTTGTTGCAAGCCGTGTGGCAATCGGTGCAAGTGTTTTCTAATACAAACTTTTCAGGTTCAGTCCTGCCCAATTTTTGTGCAGGAACTGAATTCAGGAGCCAAACCATAGAAAGTCATTCCTGACTTCTTTGAGCTTCCCTTTAAGTTGCTATTTCTCTTTTCTTTCTTCCTTACTCATCAAACACTGTGTTGCTATATGATTGTGGCGAGTAGTATAATACGAAGCTATTAACTCTGAATTTTCTGAATAATGGAGAAATCTTTAGAATTATTGACCTAGAAAATTGCCAACCTTACCTATGAAGAAGAAATAGGAAGAATATAAAGAAACTGACTATGAAGGCCCAGCATGTGCCATAACGGCCACATATCATGGCACAGGCTACACGTGCGATTTATGGTGACCAAAATATTTTTCTTCCTCCTTTTCTACTAAAATATCTAGTTGCAAGTCAGCGCTCTGTTCTATCCGGTGTGTCTCTTCCCTTGATGTCCTTTTGCGCTGTGTATTTTTTTTATTATGTACAACCTTACCTCGTTTTCAGCCACTGAAGGTCAGGCTACCCTCAGGGCAGAATTTATCTCTAATCTTCTTGGACACTGAAGGCAAGTGGTTTTATATCTTGCATCTCATAGAGCCAAAGTTAAGCCTAATGAATTTTGTTGCAGGCTTTGCCGCAAACAATGTCTCTGAAAACTATGACGCCAAGATTTTTGCTGTTGCAACCCTTATCAGCTCGCACCTGATCTACAACTCAGTCAAGATAATCGACCAAGCTGACATTGACTACCTGGAGCTGTTGGCCAGACGCACACAGGCAGGATACCTCTTTTTTATGTGATTAGATCTTCCTAAAACGAATCTGCCATCAAAAAACATGCTCCACCCCCGAAAGATAACCCACCCCTATGTTTGGCACAATTTGATATTGTTTTAAAAACACCGTAAGATAGTCAACTTTCAGTAATTCCAGGGCCCTGGCCAATTCTGACCTCGGCAGAAATAGTGTTACTTAGCCATGACGGGAGATAAGCGAGCATTGATGACTGGGAAGGTCAATCACTAGTTCCATAGGTCACAAAATCCAAAACTACAGTGAAGTTCTGACAGAACACCCGCCCCTGGGAGATCGCCCATCCTGTTTTTCTGGCTAGATATCTGTAAAAATAAGAATTCCCAAACATCGCCTACCCCTTGATTCTTGTTGGACGTCGCGCGATGTTTGGCGAGAATCTCATCAACTGCGCAGTTTGCTGTACCGGCACGTCTAACAAGCGAGTTCATAGCAGGTTCCCGCGTTTTTGTCGGTGATCTGCGCACGCGATATCGGCTCTCTTAACACGCGAGTTGTTCCCACGTGTATGTTCCACCGTGAAATGCGAATCTGCTGCGTCTGCAATCTGTTATCCGTTCCCGTGACATAAAGTTTGTAGCGGATTCCCGCCTGTATATTGCATCGTGAAATACGATTTTGCTGCGTTCGCAATCTGTGTTACTTTTTCCCTTAACATAAGGGTTTGTAGCGGATTCCCGCATTTCTGTCCGCGATCTGCGCGCACGGTATCGGTTCCCGTGACGGGCCAGTTCGTAGCGGGTTCCCGCGTGTTTATTGCACCATTAAACTTGAATCTGCTCCGTCCACGATTTGCGGTATTTGTTCCTGTGAGATGCGAGTTCTTGACTGGTTTCCGCGGAGCCTTCGCACCGTGAAGCTTGAATCTGCTGTGTCCACAACCTGCGGTATCCTTTCCCGTGACGCAGGATTTTGTAGGGAATTCCTGCGTGTTTATTGCATCGTGAAACGCGAATTTGCGGTATCGGTTCCCGCGTTGGGTAGTTGTAGCCCGTGCCGGGGTGTTTATAATTAATTTTCGATAAAGTTTTGCTGTGGCATCCCCAAAGATAGCCCACCCCATGTCTTTTAACCATTTATCTCTTCAATTTGTGTGGGCGTTCTTTCTAAACATTACGGTAGCATTTTTTTTCTCATTTTTTTATTTGCACATTGAAAGTTAGCTCACTTCTTATTTTAACATGATTTGCCTTCGATTTTAGGTGGGCTATCTCTTGGGATATTACTGTAGCCTCCAAATGAATGAAACTTCACAATAAATGTAGAGGATTATTTTCAGTTTAGCTAATGGTTACTTTACCATATAACCATATGTAGATGTCATTCTCTTTTTAAAAATTTTGCATTGGCAGTTAGAATGAGTCATTGTTGTGTTATGTGGACATGTCATTTGCTCTGTGTCAGTTGTTATACCTGGGAGGTGTCGGTTATTAGTGGTCCATCATTGGTTTTTCTCTGTTGCAGCTCTTTGCCTTGCGGTCGCAATTGTCTCGTGTCAAATGGACCGACGGTTTCGTCCATGATCTGCTCAGCTTTCCGCCACTGTTTTGGGTAAGTTTGTAAAAGCAATCTTCCTGTTTAATCTGTGCATTAGTCACGTTTAGTTCTTTGCACTGGAGGCGCTCGGATGTACTTGGTTTCATTCACAAGTGGATAAGCAGACAAAAACGAGCAGAACATATCCAACAAAGTGAACATCTTCTAAAATATTAATTTTTTGCTAAAAGTTATCAGCCTTCCAAAAGAAAAATAGAAGTGTTTTCTCGTCCTTTCCCCACCTTTCATAGGTATCTTCCATAGTCTCCTAATCGAGCCCCAATATTTCGTGTTAAACCCCCCTATTTCACAAAGAAATTTATCTTTTATTAATGTTTTGGGCTGTACCTGCTATAACGCTTCAGCACTGTGGGTTTTTGTAAATAATTAAATAAAACTTGCGGGCACCCTTACTTGTGGGAACATGGCAAGCTTCTGCGGGAATGTTGACAGGAGATGAATCCAAGCTCGGTGGCATCCTCCATCTTGAGGAAATCAAAAGAACTTCACTTGGGACACTTTGATTGTACCATTGCACATCGAGCTCCCAAGAGCACAACACTGGTGCATTTCTAGAGCGTAGTTCTCACCCAGTTGCTCGCTAGTGATCCAAGAGTCATCACGCACCCACCCAGAAACAAGCGAGAACAAGACAACCTGGAAGTATTTCTCACCTCCTGTCATGGCGGCTGGAGGCTGCCCGAATACCCTGTTAAGAAAACACTTTCTACTTGAAGATAACGGCAAGAAATGTAATGAAGGAGCAATGCACAAAGTAATAAAACCCAAAAGAAACCCCCCAAAATGCAATCACCAGTGGCCAGATTCACGAAGAGCTTCTTATTTTACAACAACTTAGCTAAGAAGTTTCCTTCGTAAGTTAAGAACATCGTAAGAAGAGGAGAAATCGGTGTTCTCAAACGTGCTTTTAAGTCAGAGGAGAAAAGCGACGTTCTTGTATGGAAAAACTAGAACTTACCGGTGTTGTTGCTATAGCGATGGCTTCTTTGAAAGCACGAACAACCAATCGGAGAGCTCGGCATGGTTTGGAGCACTTGGATTTTTAACAACAAACACAGACAGCCTTTCCACCACTGATTGTCTGCGGTCCGTGTCCGTGCAGGGATATGTCGACGCTAGCACAATTTAAACGCGCCCGAATGCCAAGGCCGGGATGCATAACCGCTTCCGTTGACTCCTACGAACTCGATCGCTACGAAGTCAACACAACTGTCATCGTTGGTAAAAGACGGCCCGTGCCAGTCGTTTGCAAAGTGACGTAGATGGAAACAAATCGCCGCAACGTTTCTCGCAGCCTCGAAGATGCAGGAGCGATCTGACGTTAAAAATATATACGTTCGAACTACGAGAATGTCACCAAGAGCCACGTAAATACCTGTTTACACTCGAAGCGGACGCGCGCTTTTGATTGAGGTGCTGGATTCGCGGTGTTGGACCGCGAATCGGTAAGCGCTTCGGAACCGATCTTTTGCGATTGCAACTCTATAGTGCCGTGACACTCGGCAAAGAGAGTTTGGATTTGCATTGAGTTGCTCCCACAAACTGTTATAGCTCGACAGTGACGTGCAGTTGTGTCAGAATAAAAACGGCATACTAATAACGAAGTGTACATATAGTGTTGCGAAGGTAATCCATACGACAATTATTTGAGCTCTATATCACATAAAACAAGGAGATAAAATCAATGAGAGTCCCTTTTCGACGACAGCGTTCGCCACCGCTGCTTCGGAAAACAAGATAACAAGGGGTCCGGGGAGGAGATTAACCTCTTAATCTAAAATTGAGGTCAGCAATCAAACTATAATACGGGAATGGTCCACAAGGGTCGCACGGGCATATTCCATTCAGCACGCCAGCCGGTCGTGGGCATACGGTCTTGGCCAAGGACCGTCGGAGCAATGCTGTGCCGAGTCGGAGTGCCTGCTAGGCCTATACTGCCGAGCTCGCTTGGTCGGGGTCTGTGGAATCGTGGCTGTTGGAGCTTTTTGCGGGTGTTTGGGGGTCCAGCATTCTTGTTCGTCGTTTTGTCGTGGTCTGTTTCAAGTACTCTTTACTTTTTTCCTGCTGCTTGAAGTCGGGACGCGCGAGAGGAGCACGTAGAAAAGTAAACATTTATTGGTCGTCGCGACCAAGTGACTGAGCGACGCTGTCAGCCATGCAGATTTGATCGTAAAAAGTGCGTAAGACAGCTCCGGAGCTGTCGTAGGATTTTGTCGTAACCTGCGCAAAACTTCCGATAATTTTTTTTCGTGAATACGAATTTGTTCTTACGTTTTGTCTTACGCACATTTTTGCCGTAAGATCGTTTCGTGAATCTGGCCTCAGTTCTAGAAATTTGCTAGAGACCCGGGGAGACAAGAAACCCAGGTCTACTTGTAGTAGGCGAAGGGAACTGGTCGTCACCCTGTTAATTGCGTGGGTTTGCATCTGTTTTCTTTTGCATCAAGTTCTACTGTTAAACGCTCCGCAAGGAAAGTGACATGTACAGGCATTTTGCTAACTCTTTTGCATTAATTTCTCAAGTTGTGCCCAACAACTCATTAGGGGCTATGTGAAGCATGAAAAGCAATCTCATAGCTCAGTTTGTAATAAGCAATGTCCAAAGTGAGGCACTTGTGAGTCAAAAATGAATGCCTCGTGCCTTTTGCAACGATGCACAAAGGAATCAAGGGCACGTGTGCAACTAAGACACCTTCCTTACTTCGCTGCTTGAGATCGGGGTGCTGTTCAGAGCTCTCGCGAATTGTTAAAGGCGGTGGTGTTAAGTTATAGACTGTTCCCTTTCCCGTCTGGAAGTGCAGGTGGTGCAGGACTTTGTGCAGACAACTCTTGACAATGAGACACCTACCCAGTGGTTGCACCGGCTCATGGAAACTCACAGCAGAGAGAGCGAAGACTACAAGATCAGCCTTCTTGGTGAGAGAAGGACGCATACTTTTTATGTGCAGATGCCTTCTTCATCATCTTCATAAACTTCTTATGCCATCTCCATAAAGTTCTCATGCTTGCCCTTGTAGGTTGGCCATTTTCTTAATCTTGATTTCCCAGCAGGCTTTTAATGTGAAAGCTTTAACTGTTTCATGGAGCGAGCTGACGTCATCAGTTGGAAGCGCGGAAACGGCAGATAGTTTCCGCGTGCCTTCGGTTCCATTAGCTGGCGCACGTCGACGGGACTCGCGTTGGCCGCTGCGTCATGGCCTCCGAGATACCGAAGCGCGCGTGTGCTAGTACACAGCAGAAGACAAAGGGAGCGGACGAGTGGCTTGCATGCTTTCGCATTCAGAACTCGTAAGAAATGCTTAGGTGTACCTCGAGCTTTTTTTTTATGCTGTTGCAGGGGCGGATCCAGAACTCCGTTTTGGGGTGGACGAAAAAATTTGCAAGGATACTATTCTCCCATTCGACTGAGTGGTTCTCCAAGTTCAGAGTACAAGTGTGCCTGCTAGGTTGTGACCTACCCTATTTTGAACCCCCATCCTTAAGTACCGAGCCTTCTACCACCTGGCAGGCCGGTAATCTGTTTTATTTGGGGGGGGGGGGGGGGGGGTCGGGGGTCGGGGGTCGGGAGTCGAGGTCGGGGTCAGGGTCAGGGGTCTACCCACTTAAAATTGCCCTCCGAGAAGGAGGAAGGGGGGGGGGGGTCGACTTAGTTTTGGGGGGGGGGGGCGGCTGCCCCCGTCGCCCCCCCTTGGATCCGCCCCTGTGCTGTTGATGGCAAAATGTACCCAGTTGAAAGAAAGATATAAGACGTAACTATGTTAGTGTGTGTTGATGTCGTGCCTAATAGGTGTCTGTGGTGCAAAGTTTGTTTCCTTTGTCCTCCAGATATTTTTAAATCGCTGGAGTGTCACACTCTCTTTTTGCCTGCCGTCAAGCGCCTTCTTCTGACTGATTTATCCGAGGTAAGAGCATAATGACACTGATTTCTGTCGTACTTTTTAAGGGGGGACATGGGCCTAAGTTTCAAATTTTTTTTAAAAAGTTAATTTTTCAATTTTGAGGTTTTTGGTATTAAAAACATATTATACACTCTTACACTAAATTTCATAGCCATGTGCCAAATAGTTAAATTGATATAAAATATTTTCGACACATTGTGAAGCAGTAACAAAGTAAAGCAGTGTATGCATTTTTCTCAGTTCTGCTTTTTGCTGGAAATTTTATACGAAGGAATCTTTTGTTTGAAGATAAAATTATTCTGGTATCACAATCAAGATGTTTCTGAACTGAAATTTACTGGGGAATCGGGCTATCTACTTTATTTTGTTTTAATTTAATGTCCTCATTGAGAAAAAGCTATGTTTTCAAAGATGGACATTGGACAGGTATGCATCTCATATTTTGAGGTAATCACTCTTCCTGAAATATTTACATTTGGGTTATAAAAACTAGATAGCCCGAAGTCCCACATCTTCCACTTTATATTCAAGCAGTTAAAATGATGATTAAAGGGGTACTCCGCCGATTTTTGAGCGTCCTCAACTAACTAAATTTTCTGACTCCCCGGCCTTTACCCTTTCTGGTATGCTATTTAGTATCGTGAAATTCATAATAGTTACTGCGAAATCGGGAAATGAAAATGATGCAAAAACAAACATTCAAATATACCCGCCCTTTTCAGGGCCGTGACGTCAGTGGAAGGTTAGCTTGCCAGTCGGGCGAGCAGTCTAAAAAATAGAATATGCCAATCATTTGTTCCGTGCTGGAGCGCGGGGACTGGAGCGAGCTTCCAAAGCATTCATTTAACACCATGAAACTGCTTCGAATCAGTTGGGAACAAATTCTACAGTCCAAAGAGTGAACCCCTGCACTTCCACTGACGTCACGTTTTCATTGTTGCCAGTAGAGACTTTCAGTTTGAAAAACACGGTGAGGACCAAAATTGTAAATTCAATAACTTCGTGAAAAAAAATTATTTTGACCTAATATTTGGTATACTATTTTGGCGATGTTGTTTGGCGAGTTTAGCAAAATTTCAAGCAAATCGGGGACCATGAAGAAATCGGCGGAGTACCCCTTTAATAGCTTCATTTGCATATCATAGATTCCTTAACGAAGAGTGACAAATCTTATTATGCAGGAATGTAAAATTGTCCTAGAGAGCTGAAAATTTGCACAGTACACATACATTTGAAGTTAAATCTCCCCTGCAAATTTCATTCCGATCACTTGGGCAGTTCAGAAGTTTAACCTCTAGCCAGTGTCTCCCCTTAATAAAGGCTCTTTCACACTCTTGCAGCCGAGTACGACCGAGAGAGACAAGACCGGTTTTTAATCCTCTTACGACGTCTTGGGACCAGCTCCGCAGCAGTGCACTTGATCCTAAGATGTCGCAAGAGGCTTAAAAACCGGTTCTGTCTCTCGGTCTTACTCGGTTGCAAGAGTGTCAACGAGCCTTAACTGCTTACAGAGTTGAGGAGAGGGGGAGGGGAGGTTATTTAAGATTGGTCTATTCATTCCCTTCGTCGTTAAAGGGGTATTCACACGAGGGAGAAATCCCGGGGATTTCTCCCCGACACGCGCGCATCACGAGATGAAAACGCGAGGCTTTTGCACATCGCAAAGCCTGACGTTTTCGTCGCTGGATCCGCTTGCCGGGGAGAAATGCCCGGGATTTCTCCCTCGTGTGAATACCCCTTAAGCAATTACTTTGAAGTGCCTTCCTGAGCTCACCTGTCTAACATAGTGCTGACGTTAAAGGGGCCATGAAGCAAATTTTTGGCTGGAATAAATTAATTTAGAATGGGATTTTACTAATAGCATATTGTTTAATGGGCAAAAGAAAGAAGGTAGAAAGGCAAAAGCCTGCTTTTCGATACAAAATTTTTAAAACAAAGCGGACTATTTTTTCTTTGAAAGCTCTCTGCCTTTTTAGTGCGATACATCTGCGGTGCCCAAGTACCGAAATCACGTCAGCCGGCCCCAGCTCACGCATTGGACACAAGCACTGCATCCCTGTGCTATCTGACTATACTCCGTTCACCCTTGAGCTGACAGTGCAGTGGGAGCTACAGGCTTGCCGGATCAATCAGCTGCCTCCCTCTCATCACCTGACCCCATTTTGTGCACGTGGGTATACGTGAGGAAGCGTGATCATGTGGCAAAAAGATAGAAGTGTGACTGGCCTAACGAGCACGTAGCTTCCACAGCACTGTGAGCTTATGGGTAATGGAGGATAGTTGCGTGCAGTAAACTCGGCCCTGTACCTTTGTTAACACTCTGCAATTTGTGAGTTGAGGAGGAAAGCTAAGAACGAAGAAATAGAAAAATCATTTCATGGCCCTTTTATTTTTTCGCTTACATTGAAGGCAGGAAAGAAAAAGTAAGCTTTTACATCATCTTGTTCACAAAAGTTGACAAAACAATAACATTAGTATGCAGTAACTCTTTGTATTCACAAATATCTCGCTACAAAACCTGGCAAGCTGCCCATAAGTATTTGTTAATAATTTTAGTTTATACATAGGGTACTTTTTCAGAACAGTTTTTTTCTGTATGCAGGCCAGGGAAGAAGACCTCACAGAAGAGTACATTGAGGAGAGAGATGCTCTTTCTAAAAAGCTCCTTGCAACCTTAGTGCCAAAGACAAAGAATGGTATCACTGTGTTTCTATTGCTATTTATTTTTTTTTTCTAAAAAGAATGTACAAGATTTTTTGCAGTGCAAAACTCTGAAACTCTGTCCAAAAGTGTAACCCTACCAGAGTTAGTCATCACTTTTCATTCAAGTATGGTGCCATGCACAAAAGATCAATTGTTGGGAAATACTTTAAGTATGTTACACTAAAAGTACTACCGTAGAGTACAGCGCATCCACCCATTCTACACTAAGTGCCCATTCCAAAATTTGTAAGATCTGGGAAAATACGCACAGTACATTTATATGTAAAAATGATGACCGGACAAGCGCCCAGCCCCCTTTTTTTGCACTTATTTTTGAATTTTGAGTGAGCGCTTGCTTGGTATTTTGCGGCATTTTTCCAGAAAAAGTATTTTTTGCAGAAAAAGTACTTAAAGTATTTCTTCTGGTACTTTTCAGAGAAAAGTATAACTCCCGACTTCAAAGTATGTTCCCCAAATGTGGTCTTGTTAAATTTATATCACAAAATTATGCTTTGTCAACTCTGAAGAAATTCTGGGAGGAATATTCTACTCTCACCAAAACGCGAGGAGACGTTTTGCTCTTTTTCTGCGGGGAACGACTCTCCCGTTGCATTTCAAACTCTTACTACTACTCGCTTGGTCAGCGGAAGCAAGGAGGTTATCCTTCACTTGAGCATTGCTTGCGGAAGCTACTGGGCTGTTGTCATGCTCTCTTTATTAGGAAAGGCTGTGTCAAAAAGTACTTATTTATTTTATTTACAGAAACAACCTGCAGCGCCGAAGCATTATAGCAGGGAAACACAAAATAAAACACATACTCACGAACATAAATGCAATGGCAAAATACAATAAGTACTGTTCAATGAAAGAACACGCACAAGCTGTTTGAAAGGTTATTGTATTTATAGTACTTTACTTGAAGTACATTGTGCTTGGCATACTTTTTTTATTTTACTACTTTACTTTTTCTACTTAAAGTACACGACCTTTCATTTACTTTGTACTTTATGTCAAGGACTTTTTAGATGTACTTTACCCAACGCTGCAGACGTTACAGGAAGGGTTACCTAAAACAGCGCACAAGCACAGGAGGAAGAAACTAGAACACAGCTAAGAGTGCTTACTTCCAGCTTATGTATTGTCAAAGAAAGAGAAAAAAGCTTCAGACATGAAGCCTACGTGTACCCACAAGGTAAAAAGAAGAAGAAAAAACGGATACATTACTAAGTTGCGGTAGAAAAGGAGAAAACGAAGACATTATGAGGTCACAACAAAAAAGAGAAAAAAAAAGAAAGAAAAAAAAATAACAAAAAAAACATTTGCATAAAGTACAGGCCGGCCCCGCTGGCCTGATTTTCGGATGTTGTAGCCTTCTAAAATTTCTCTAGTTTGCCAATTTCAATATCGTCCTAATATTGTTTTGTCCGAATACATAATTTATTTATTCACAATACCTTACAGGCTCTTTTCCAGGGCATTGAGTAAGTTGGGAGTCATAAGTTGGGAGTCAGCACTTTTTCCTGTGTTCTATTTTCTTCCTCCTGTGCTTGTGTGCTGTTTTGGATATGTCTTCTTAGTGCCAGGTAGCTTAACTCTCTACATTATTACAGAAAGTTCCTGAAAAGTTTGAATGAAAGAGTGGTGCTTATAGAACCTGTGAATAAGTGCAGTATTATACCAGTGAGGGACAGCATCTTTTCATTTCAAATTTTTTTTCAATTGCTTCAACTTGTTCCTTATGTAGCATTGCGGGCTGAAAAAGTTTCACATACCCAGTGTTTTTGTCAAGACTCGAAAATTTCTAAAATGAGGGTGGTTTAGAAGAAAACAAACTTTCCAGGAACAAACTGCCAGCCACAACGAGTGTCGGGGATTGCAAAAAAAATATATTAATTTGCAAAATATTTATCTAAAAATTATGTTCTAATTAGGGATAATGAACATAAGGTTCCAATTAGAAACTTGCTGAGTGTCATTGAAAACCCTTAAATCTGTCAATTTTAGGACGACTTGAAGCATGTGGGAAGTGGGGGTTTCACTAAAGTTTGCACTCATGCAGCAGGTGCAAGGTGGACGATGCGAAAACATGGATGATATTCTTATTATTTGTGTTTTCATGTATTTAAATATTTGCTCCATTATAATTAAAAATTTTACCCCAGAACCCTGCCTTGGTTAAGATGAAACCACCCTAATGTCTTCGTAATTATACCTTCTTCAGGAAGACCAATCACAGGAGCTGAACTCGTCACACTTTTTGAGGTCCTTGTGGAGGCCTCTAATGATGGCTCTCTTGCTGATGTGAGTGAAGCTCCTCTGCTTTATGTATTTGTGGCAGATAAGGGCCACTTTCTGAGTCTTCATTTTGTTTGGGATGCATGGTGCAGTTCTTTTTTGTCGCAAACTAACTTGGCCATCTCAATAAAACTGCACGAATAGGTACCAAGCCGTTGGACTTCCTTTGTCGAACGAATAATGGATTCTTCTACCGAAGACTGCACTCACTTCTATGAGTCTGAGATGCAAGTCCTTTTTAAGAAAAACGACGACGGACCTGTCAAAGAAGGTGTCCTTGTGGTGAGTGAATGTTGGCATGGCAAACTGCAAAACTCTGGCTACACAGTACCCTTATTATTGGCCCTAGGGTGGTAGGCCCGACACACACGCTGCTCAAAGAGGGTAGTTTAATATCTGGAAATGGTAGAACACTTTTTACGGGAACCTCATGCATAAGCTGAAGGGGATTAAAGACCTCGCCATAAAATGGTCAGAAGACCTTCTACCGTCGAATACAGTACTACTGGTATACAGTTTCTAGACATTAAACTCGCCCTCTCTGAGCAGCATGTGTGTTGGGCCCACCACCCTAAGGCCAATAGGCCCTTGTTACCATATGACTCATCCCACTCAAAGCTGGTTAAAAAAGGAATAGTCAATTTGTGTTTCATGAGCACCTTAAGGTCTTGCTACCATGCCATGCGCTCGAGTTCAACTGAGCAGTATGAGCGCTTGCTGTGTGCCGGTTTTCCAAAGGCTGTGCTTGTATCTGTAGCAGAAGGTGTCCTTAAGAAACTGCGAAGGGGTGTTAGTACGGATGGTTCTCATTTGAACCCGTTCGCATTTCTACCTTCTCGTTTTTACCTTCTCATATCAACCCAGCGCAAAACAACTTTCGCGTTTCTCCCTTTCTCATTTAAACCGTTCTCAAAACAAACTTTCGGGTTTTGACCCTTCTCAAAACGAGTTTTCTCATTTTAACCTTTCTCATCTCAAATTTTCTCAAAACATACTTTCTGGTTTTGACCATTGTCAGAAATACTTTTCTCATTTTAACCTCTCTCATTTCGAACCCAAATTAATCCAACATCATGATCTCGCAATCTTTCTGCGGTATTTATGGCGAATTCGGGTAATTAATTGCCTTTGAGCCCTTGCCTGTAGCACCGGCAGCCAAAAACGCGCCAGCGGCGCATCACGTGACCCTCTCCAGCCGAATGCAAAGCACAATGAACTGGCGTTTTTATTTGACTTGGTCGCTAGTGAGCTCTGTTAACTTCTTCGATCATTCTATGGTACCATGAGCACGCTGCATACGCCAACAACATAAATTACGACTCTTTGAGATGTGTGTAAACAGAAGCGGCTTCACAAAACTTTTAAAAATATTGGCATTACCACAGTCTGTACAGCTGACAGAATATTAAAATATAAAATCAATGAAAGGGCAGATGTATAAATCAGTGTGGTTCTGCCCGCACGCGCGTCAAATTTCAATAAACTTCGTTTGGATTTTCGATTAACTGTTGCCACGGAGGCTTGCCAGCGTCGCTTTCCATATTCTCTTTACTGTTAGTAGCGAGTTTTAGTAGATCGTTCCCATGACTCCGATAACGATACCTGATACTCCGCCACCGCCTCCCTTGCGCATGCATAGTATCGTTATCGGGGGTATCGGAACGATCTACTAAAACTCTCTAGTACCTCTTTTGGAATCCTCAATCTTCTCATTGCACCCACCCTCCTTGAAATTGTAATGCGTGTTCAAGTTTCAAACTGCATCACTATGCATACTTTTTTTTCAGCGGTGTAATAACTTGTTATTACAGAGTTGTAAAATAAAGTGATGTGTGATGCAGCCCGTGTCTCAGAGCAAACATACCTTGCTCAGGCTGGATAAATTCTTCCAAAAATGTTGACTTTCTTTGAAACATAAATTATCTTTCTCTTCGTTGTTTTTCCTATCTTGTCTCGGAGCAGGAAAGGGTGCCTGTCTCGATGGCTTCGTTTGCCACTCGAACCCGCTATTTGCCGCCTCAGCGAGCATTGTTTCGTTTGGTTCCCTAATCCGATTCGGATGTGACGATACCGGATACAGTCTGGCAGACAAGCTGCCCGACCTCTTGGAGCTCGGGAAAACTGCTGGTAAATTGGAGGTACACGCCTGAGAAGCGCAACCCGAAAAGCTTGCACCCGTCAGCCTTTGACCACGCGAATGCCCCTGCCGAAGGTATGGGAAAACCTTTTTTCAGGGAAAATAACCACCCGAATTGGCCATTACAAGCAATAACACACGACTAGCACAATGATCCATTTGCTCCACACGACGACATCTTAACGACATACAGCGACAGAAGAGAAATGAAGTACCGAATCTGCGCTAGCACTTTTGAAACCACGTCACCATGTGACCATGTAGCTACGTCAACAGGCTCGGGGTGGCACGCAGGCATAAGGAAAATTGTTTCATGTGCTATGCAAGAGATGGGGCCGCTTCGCTTCATCTTCAACCTTCATCCTTCAACTGTTTTTCCTTCTTTCTATACCTCACTGCGGTGTTGAAATGACAACGGGTTGAAATGAGAAAGGGCCGAAACGCGAAAGGTTAAAACGCGAAGGGCGTTTTGCGAATGGGTTCAGACGAGAAGGGTTCAAATGAGAATAGGTTCAAATGAGACGGGTATAAATAAGAAAGGGTCGAAACGCGAAAGGTTAAAACGAGAAGGGCGTTTTGCGAATGGGTTCAAACGAGAAGGGTTCAAATAAAAATGGGTTGTTTCGAGATACACCCGTTAGTACACGCTCAGATGCACTCCAAAAGGAGAGACAAAAGGTGGCAGTTGTGCCATACATGCCCAGAACAGCGCACAACCTAAAAAAAATAGCAAAACTTCTAAACACAAAAGTTCTTTTATCTGCACCTGAAAAGCTCGCCAAGATGTGCAAATTGACAGACCCGTTTCACAAAGCACCGGCAGGCAGCTTAAAGAAGCACAGGAGTCCCTTCGTCGCTTGCGCGAAAGGTGTAGTGTATCAGACTCCACTGTTATGTGGAAAGAAATATGTTGGCCAGCCAGGCAGGTGTTTTAATGACAGACTAAGAGAGCACAATCAGAGATTTCGGAATGGCCATCTTTCGTGTCATCGTCATGACGGGTGTATCTCGAAACAACCCATTCTTATTTGAACCCTTCTCGTTTGAACCCATTCGCAAAACGCCCTTCTCGTTTTAACCTTTCGCGTTTCGACCCTTTCTTATTTATACCCGTCTCATTTGAACCCATTCTCATTTGAACCCTTCTCGTCTGAACCCATTCGCAAAACGCCCTTCGCGTTTTAACCTTTCGCGTTTCGACCCTTTCTCATTTGAACCCGTTGTCATTTGAACACTGTAGTGAGGTATAGAAAGAAGGAAAAACAGTTGAGGATGAAGGTTGAAGATGAAGCGAAGCGGCACCATCTCTTGCATAGCACATGAAACAATTTTCCTTATGGCTGCGTGCCACCCCGAGTCTGTTGACGTAGCTACGTGGTCACATGGTAACGTGGTTTCAAAAGTGCTAGCGCAGATTCGGTACTTCATTTCTCTTCTGTCGCTGTATGTCGTTAAGATGTCGTCGTGTGGAGCGGATGGATCATTGTGCTGGTCGTGTGTTATTGCTTGTAATGGCCAATTCGGATGGTCATTTTCCCTGAAAAAGTTTTCCTATATCTTCGGCAAGGGCGTTCGCGTGGTCAAAGGCTGGCGGGTGCAAGCTTTTCGGGTTGCGCTTCTCAGGCGTGTACCGGCAATTTACCAGCAGAAGTTTTCCCGAGCTCCAAGAGGTCGGGCAGCTTGTCTGCCAGACTGTATCCGGTATCGTCACATCCGAATCGGATTAGGGAACCAAACGAAACAATGCTCGCTGAGGCGGCAGATAGCGGGTTCGAGCGGTAAACGGAGCCATCGAGACAGGCACCCTTGTGTGCTCTGAGACAAGATAGGAAAAACAACGAAGAGAAAGATAATTTATGTTTCAAAGAAGGTCAACATATTTGGAAGAATTTATCAAGCCTGAGCAAGGTATGTTTGCTCTGAGACACGGACTGCATCATACATCACTTTATTGTACAACTCTGTAATAACAAGGTATTACACCGCTGAAAAAAAAAGTATGCATAGTAATGCAGTTTAAAACTTGAACACGCATTACAATTTCACGGAGGGTGGGTGCAATGAGAAGTCTGAGTATTCCAAAAAAGGTACTAGAGAGTTTTAGTAGATCGTTCCGATAGCCCCGATAACGACACTATGCATGCGCAAGGGAGGCGGTGGCGGAGTATCGGGTATTGTTATCGGAATCATGGGAACGATCTACAAAAACTCTCTACTAACAGTAAACAGAATATGGAAAGCGACGCTGGCAAGCCTCCGTGGCAACAGTTAATCGAAAATCCAAACGAAGTTTATTGAAATTTGACGCGCGTGCGGGCAGACCCACACTGATTTATACATCTGCCCTTTCATTGATTTTATATTTTAATATTCTGTCAGCTGTACGGACTGTGGTAATGTCAATATTTTTAAAAGTTTCGTGAAGCCGCTTCTGTTTACACACATCTCAAAAGTCGTAATTTATGTTGTTGGCGTATGCAGCGTGCTCATGGTACCATAGAATGATCGAAGAAGAAGTTAACAGAGCTCACTCGCGACCCAGTCAAATAAAAACGCCAGTTCATTGTGTTTTGCATTCGGGTGGAGAGGGTCACGTGATGCGCCGCTGGCGTGTTTTTGGTCGCCGGTGCCACAGGCAAGGGCTCGAAGGCAATTAATTACCCGAATTCGCCATAAATACCGCAGAAAGATTGCGAGATCATGATGTTGGATTAATTTGGGTTCGAAATGAGAGAGGTTAAAATGAGAAAAATCTTTCTGACAATGGTCAAAACCAGAAAGTATGTTTTGAGAAAATTTAAAATGAGAAAGGTTAAAATGAGAAAAGTCGTTTTGAGAAGGGTCAAAACCTGAAAGTTTGTTTTCAGAACGGTTTAAATGAGAAAGGGAGAAACGCGAAAGTTGTTTTGCGCTGGGTTGAAATGAGAAGGTAAAAACGAGAAGGTAGAAATGCGAACGGGTTCAAATGAGAACCACCCGTCATGACTGCGGGCGCAAACATTTATATGCCACATGTACTGTTCTCGCCAAACATAAAGACAAGACAGAGAAATAATTGAGGCTGACATCATCAAAAGTTCTGGCATCAGCGTGGCCTCAATTGTCTTGGCAGAAAAAGAGATAGCGTACAATGCAATCAGTGACGGGGCGTCGGATTGGTTGAGGGTTTTGCAGTTGCGCAGTGCGAATGCACGATGTTCTCTGATTAAACAGTTGAAAGTTAGCGTTTTGTGTTGTCTATTCTTCCACTGTCCATGTCCTAAAGTGCAATCATGTTTTCGAATTCACAATACCAATTTGCCAAACAATCAGCACTTAATCATTTACTGTGGAAGTGCATTTTCCAAGTTTTATGTGGGAATTCTTTTTGTTTATTTTAATCTGCATGGTAATCATTTACTTTTTTTTTTCCTGATTTGTTTCATGATCTTAGGAGTGGCATGCTCAAGTAAAGAAGAAATCATTCACTCTTCTTACACAGTTGCTGCATGGGTAAAACACTTTATACTTTTCTTGGTTGGTCTTGTTTTGTGAACAGTCGTGTGTAGCTCTCTGTAAAAAGGCAAATTTAAAGGGATGCTGCACAAGTTTCTTTCGGTTTCCTAAAACTGTTGTATTTTTGCTTGATTAAAGAATTTTTAAGATTAATAGCGTTTATTTTTAAGCATTCCTTCCTACTTTTGAGGCGGTGTCGTCAGTACGGTTCATTCATTTTGTGATTAATTTGTGGGACAAAACATTACTATCTGTATAGATTAGGCCTTGGACAGTGTTGTCTGAGGCACCTTTGCTAAATGCATCCACTAAAAAGATTCCTAAAAATGACTTTAGCGTTTCCCCAAGATTGTGGGGAGGTCTGTGTGAAAGGTAGATTTTTCCAGCACGACTGGCTGTAGAATGAAGAATTTTGATGAAAACGTTTAGACCTGCAGTTGTTATTTTGCTTAGTGTCATCTTCAGTGAGATGCTTATACAGCTCTTCTGAAGCTGTCCAGGGTTTTCCTCTTTCTATGGTCACTGGCAGGGTGAGGACGGCAGAGGGGAGTTTCGATCGTCCCTTCTCCAACACGAGCTTCATTCCTTTGATAACGCTTCGGTGTCTCTTGCAGCTCTAGCACGCACGTGCTGGAGGCCAGGCACTCGAAAGACACGCCCTGCCACTTTCATTCTGTTGGGGATTGTAGTACCCCCTTTCAACCGTGCCAATTTATTTACGAGTTTCACGTGCGGTTCTAGAGGTGTGCTCAGGCAGGTGTTGGCAGTACAGTCCTCCTTTCTGTTTAGTTTTACCTTTCTAGTTTTGAATGGAGAACCCTTTTTGTCTAGCCTAGAGTAGTGTACAGAGGCAACCTGATGCCAAGGTTCATGGTAGTATCAAACTGCTGCATCTCCAGGTTGTCAGATGCCCTCGAGTCGGCAAGCACTCAGCAAGGAAAGAACCTGGAAAGACTTCATGCCAGGCAGCGACACTTGAACTCCAAGAAGGTTCGGCTCTTCTGCTCCAACCAGGAACAGAAATATTTGGTCAGTATTGCCTCTCCAGAATAATTGACCCTGTGTATTGAGGTAACCTCCCACTCGTTCCTTCCTTTACTTTTTTTTTTTAATTTTTTACATGTCCACGCATTGTGTAGCTCACTGCTGAAGGTCATGCCAGGGGCATTGCCCTCCCCATCAACTCTGCCATACTTGAGCGAGACCTCGGTGCCTATGCCGAGAGTCTAGTCACGGACTTTGCCAAGGAACTGGATAGTGTTCTTGAGGAAGGGGACAAGAAGACATACACCAGATCACTCAAGGTTTGCTCCTGCTTTGGTGCTGCTGTTCTCATATGAATGCTCAATCGTGCTTCGATGCAAAAAAAGACATCTGCTGGAGGGTCTTTACAGTGATGGCTCGTAGCACACCTTCGAGTTAATAACGTAGACCCGCATGTACGACCTGCGGGGGCAAGAAACTGGGTGGAAATTGTGCAGCATAATAACAAAGCCTGTCCAGATAGCAGTGGTTGCTACCTTCCCATGCCTTCCTTATATTGTTGGGGTGAGAACGACAGGGCATCTCTTTGGAACACCCAACGTCCAGCACTCGCTTGTTACCTTTTGCCATGCATTGGCTGCACGCACACGCTCTAGGTTCTTGAGACGCCGCTGTCAAATGTAGGGTGCTCGCGCTGGAGACGGGACAACCGCGGTTCTCGCCCTGCCGTTCTCACCCTTTCGGTGACCATAGCTTCTGCTGTGCCGTTTTTGAGCAAGTCGATAAAGTGGATCCTAAATGTAGGAAATTGTAGCGCTAACCTGTTGCAAGGAACACTTAAGTTGCTAGTTCCAGAAAGGTTAATGTCTAACATGTAAAGGTGTGTTACATACACTGGTATTTGTGGCAAGTTTTTATTTTCTTTTACATAGTGTAAAAGAAGTTGTTTATGCACCAGTAATGCCTGTGTTTGCTTTGTTGGCTCCATTGTTGCCCGATTTTACTTTTATGCTGCACTGGCATGAGTAACAACTGCTTCATATACCCCAACAATGGTTAACCGGACAAAATGTTAAAAAAAAAACTCCCTACACCATGTACTGATGCCCCTTTCCGTTGTAACATTTTTTGTGTTATGATCTGTAATTTGTGTGGGCTTCTGCTCTAGTGCTGTTTTATATTCATTTTTTTTTTCATCCCAATTTCTCTTCTGACTTTTTTGGGGTGAATCACAGCAATCACTTGCGCATTTGATCGATGCCACCCAACTCCAGAATGAGCTTTTCTTGGAAGCTGTCTTTGAGAAAGCTGTGGCTGCAGCGTCTGGTGAGAGAATGCCACTTATTTTTTTAATGAGTGAGATGTGACTGAAATGCTGCACGTTTGAATAAAAATGGATTGTGTATTCTCCTTTCATATCTTAGATACCTGCTCATCTAAAGCTGTCGTATCAGAAGCTCTAACTGATCAGCAACTGACGAGAGCAGCAAAAGAAGGGATGGACGCTGCTTTTCAGGTACATGCTTGTTTTTGTTATAGATGCCATGTTTGTGTCACAACTCGAGTTTAGGCCATGCTAACAAAGAGGCACAGCTTCAGTTTAGTCTTGGGAAGGTTAGTGTCTTATTTTGAGAGCCCTTACCATTTTCTTGGTGTTCTATCTCATTTAATGTCTTTCGACAATTGTGCCGATTTGAGTTGTACCATGACTTTATAGGTTTTCAATTCAGAATGCAAGAGGTTCTCAAGCGAAAAGAAGTATGGTCTTCATGAAGCACTGCTGAAGGTGAGTTTTTATGAGCGGTACATTTTGCAGCAGAGCCGAGTGCTTGAACACAAACCTGCTGTTACCATTGGTTTATGGCTTTGTGGCAACAGCTACCAAGCTGGAATGCATTTTGAGCAATCTGGGAAAGTTCAGTGAGGAGGAAGGGGAGGTGGGGGGGGGGGGGGGGGGGGGGACTTGCACTGTGCATCCAGAATAAGGCTCGCGAAAATGCTAGAAATCCAGTCATTTTTCCTTGCTTTCATTTGATGTATATAGTAGTATGCATTTTAATGCAGTCTTTTTTTGCATGTGCCTATGTGTTTGTGGTTTTCAGCTTTGTACATCCCAAGCTCTGTAGCTAATATATAATTTCTGGTCAAACAAACATCATTGGACCGAGTTTTATACCTTCTTGTTGCCTTGTCTTTCTTTAATGGAGGCACGGCAACTGGTGGACGCTGTTCAGGCATCTTTTATTTTATGGATATTTAGCCAAAACAATCGGCTGGGCAATCTCTCTAGGCTGGGCATTTGCTTGGGATTTTTTTGGTATGGTGCTTTGGAGTATGTATTCCAAGACCTAACTGTTCTTTTCTTCTTTGCACTCAGGATGTTATAAACCGTCGAATGGAAGACCTTAGAAAAGAGAATGATCAATTCATCTCAAAACTCATGGCTGATACTGTAAGTCTTGTTTTTTGTATAGCGTTTGACTTTCTGTCTATGCATGTCCAGAATTTTCCTGCATATCTTTAAGAGAAATGGGGCATTGAATTCATTACTTAGTTCAGTCGTGCATCACAAGTCCACTCTACAATGTGCCTGTTGTCATTTCTTTCAGACAAGGAAACTCGTGGAAAGGTTTGCTGAGAGAACTGGACCGCAGCATCTGTCCTTACCAGTGAATGATGCTGACCTTGATCTAAGGTACCTCCACCAGTACATTGCTTGTGGTAGTTCAAGGGAAACTCCTCCCACCTCTTTCCACTTCAGCAGAGCGAATGCTGGAGAGGAGGTCATCTCCTCCCCAGCGTTTGCTCCGCTCCGACTATTCGCAACTCCAGCGCACCGCTCGCCCTCTCGCGGACGGAGATCAGGAAAGTGGACGGAGATCGGGGGAGCGGGGACAGCAGTGGCGGCAGCGGCGCGGAAACGGTGGCAGGGGCTGTTGGCCTTGGCGCATGAAGCCGTTTAAAGGCCGACGACCAGACCCGAGATTCTGCAAATAAGAAGATCCTCCTAACCGTGGGGAAGGAGGAAACAGGCCAGGGTGGACAGGGTAGAAGGGGGGAGAGGAGGAAGCAGGGGAAAAGTGGAAAGTGCGATTTGGTTGTCGGTCTTTAAACGAAAAAAAGTGAGCGTGTTAAAATAGGGATTCTTGTGCTCTGCCTTGCAACAGCGTTGCACGAAGGACAGGGATGTATAATTTCTAGGGGTGTGCGAATATTCGAAATTTTGTATACAAATCGAATATTTTCCTTATTCGAAACATATTCGATTCGGAAATTGCATATTCGGAAGTTCCCGAATATTCCGCAATATTCGGGAAAAACAGCGAATATTTGCACACACTGTGAATTTTCGAGTAACGAATAATCTGCCTGCCATGCATTACCCTATGATAATGTTTATTCACTGAGAAAGGCGTATCATGCATGCGTTTTCGGTCTGCTTTGTTTCTATCTGTCCGATGGCAGCAAGACAGGATTAGTTTCGTTTCTTTCTTCGCCAAGCCCTTTGTTGTGGGGCATTTTTATAGCAATATGTGATGTAATTGCGCATTTTATAAATTGATACAAATGAGCCTCGAGAGTGAAATATAAATATAAAATAAATCTCGAGAGTGTTATGTAAAAAAAATGTTTGGAAATTAAGAAAAAAAAGCTAGGTGCGAGCAAAACATTGCATCGCCATTGACAACAACTCCTGCCACTTCCGCGCTGTCAAAACTATGGATGTCAGGAACCTGCCCAGGTTCGAGCCGACCAAGTTAGACTTTTTCGAACTTTCAACGTGATGTTTGACAAAGGTTCGAGTGAAGTTCAACTTTTGTGCGCATGCACAAACATAAATAAAAAAAAAAAAAAAGCTAGTTGACTCTACCTGGCGGAGGGAAAGTGCAATATTTGTTCGGTTTATTGGCATCACTGATTCACATTAATAACTAATGAAAGCGTTAAAAGTGCATATTTTCACCTTTATATTGTGTAAACATTAACCATTTTATGAAATATAAAATAGAGTACTTTTTAAGTTATTTGTTTCCCAAAATTTGAAATATTTGTGTAGCACCTGGGCAACACTGTCCGTAAGTCGAACTCCTTCGAACTTTAGTGAAATTTCACAGGTTTCCCGAGTGAAAGGGTCATTCTACTGGTGGAAATGTTGTCACGGCGCGTAGGGAGCGCTTACTTTCTCAATACGTTGAGCAGTTAATTTTCCTACATGATAATTTGTAATGAGTGCATTACTAGAGGTATCTTTAGCCTGCCGCAGTCAAGTAAAAGGCAGTTGCGTTGATTTATTTTAAAAGGCAAAAAAAACCTACTGTTTGCCATAAGTAGGAGAAAACTCATCGCCGAACAGTATGTCGAGCTATACACATCGTGAATGGGTTTGCGTTTTAAGGTTATTACAAGGAACATGCACATTTACTCTGAGCACTTTCAAAAGACAGAATACCCGTACTTGCTTTTAGGTAATTACAAAGAAAATGAAGAAATGCTCGAAGCATTTTAAGCGCGTCTGTGTTAGACAGCCGTTCGGAATGAGAGCTTAGAACGGTCACTTTTGGTGAGAGGGGCCGCAACGTTGCAAATATCAGGCACAAAAAATGTATGGTATATTAAAATATTTATTTTTGACAGAGTCATAAATATAACCCCTAAACACGCCGATTATGTTAAAAGGCAGGCATAGCGTTACTGCAGGTTACCGGCACGGCAACGCTCCTGGCGCACGCTGAAAATTGTGCTTCAAAGACGCTTCCGGTTGTAATGCTACACCGTACGGTAGCCCGCGGTAACAAACTTTTGTATCAATAACCATAGAGCAGTTTGATTACATGTTGCAATACGCTAAAACGAAGACGGTGAGCAGCGAGTTGCGAGCCTGTGACACAAAGACAGCAATACTGTGAACGCTGTTCTTCCGAAGCTCGATGGTCACCGTGCATGCGCGGGTCACTTTTTGGAGCACTAATGGCCAGGCAAAGTGCAAACATAATATCTTCATCACCCTCGAAAATATTCTGCCACAAACAGGGACGTGGCCTAAAATGCGCTCACCCACCATAGTGCTTCACAAGTTGAGGTTTCTGCAACTTCTAAATATCAGCATGCTCATTTTCCTAGTGTACATCAGCATCTCCGTCACCTGTAATATGATCCCTCCCTAACCGCTTCACATTTGCAGACAAATCATTTTTAGCGCACGGGAAATCCTGGGTAGTCTATCCCCATCTCTTTCGCCACCTTTGAACTACCGCTTTGGAGTTGCGAATAATCTTCTAGGTCTAGTAGAGGGATAAAATGCATGTCATTGTGGAGTGTTGTGTAGTCTTAAAACAATATTTTTTTGTCTCGGGTGATAATATCAATAGTGTATCGATGGTGTCATGCAGGCACAAAGTTATCATGTATTTCGGGTAAAGAGTTCTTTGTAGTATCAGAAATGATCGGCAGTTATGGATTGTCTTGACTCTGACTTGGTCAAAGTCAAGACAAAAAATGACTTGCTTTTCAGCAGTCATTTTTTGTCAACACTGATAGCTGCTTTGCGCACATGTTTTAGTACACAAAATCTGTAGCAAGCATTTTTCCTCAACTAAGATCTTTATATTATCTAATAAAACCTCCATTTCTTTTTCTATTTTACCATTCTGGCGAATTGTTTCAGTAACTTCACCAATCATCAATCGAATGCAAAACGTATCTATCAAATTCTGTGTAATCAGTTCGAACAATGAAAGTATAGAGTTCTTCATACATTTTAATATGGAAAGAAAATGAGTCTGTTTGAGTTTTTCAATATTGATGCTCGTATTCCCGTCTCGAAAAGGGATGTGAATCAACCGGTGTTGTGGAACAAGTAGTATGAGCTAACATTTTGCATGTCATGGAACAGAACCATTTAATGTTTGACGTGGCTCCCATCTCATTACTTTATTAATATTCACAGAGTAATACCAGGCTGAGCAATTTTGCATCTGGCATGTGGCACAGGTCATGCCCTTGTGACACAGTGCTCAGGGCTTTTGGGAGAAGCTTGGAGAGTCCGTATCCATGAAGTCAGTTTCCTCATCCAAAGCGAGATCATTGGCAACGCCTCACAAATGTGGACTGTTCTATGTCATCTTGTTTGGGTAATGCTGCCGACTGCATTGCTTTGAACATAATTTAAGTTTGTTTTCTGCAAAGTTCTATGTAGCCAGACGAATGCTACAACGAATTAGCCCTGCCATGTCAACACGTGACAGAAAGAGTGCTCAGGGCAGAATCTCTCTGCAGCCAAGCTGTGGGAGGAGAAAGGGAAGTTGGGCTAGTTGGTATGGGTGCATGGTAGAAACAGCAGAAACCAACTCTTTCCTTAACATATGAAAAAAGGCTGTTATGAGGTGGCCCCAGTAGAAAAAATTGTTTAGCTGCAAATTTGGCTACTAAGTGTACTGAAGCATACCAAGATGTAGCTAAAGGAATTTTCTTTTCAAAAATGTAAATGTCAAACAAGATATTGATTATATATAGGGCTGCAGGTTTTCGGATAAATCCGAAAAACACCCGCTGGTAAAATTTTTGTCAATTCGGATTTATCCGATAAACTCCAGATTGTTATGTGCCCATGCCACCCCCCCCCCCACCCCCCCACACACACACACACACACATATACACACAGAGAAAAAAAAATTAACGTACGTATATATATTTCTTTTTTTACAATTTGAGTAGCGCAGGATCAATGGTCCTGGGAAAATGTCACCATAATTATCTTTCAAGCCTCGGACTGTTGTCAAAAGGGGGTCTTACGGCTTGTCTCGTCAAGGTTGGTTCAGGGAAACAGGTCATCGTACCATTCAAGTCGGGACAAAAGCCACTCTTTTGGTTTCCAGTTCGGGCCATGGGATTTGGGATTTAGAGAAAGGAGAGGGTATGTTTCTGGGGGTAACAGTGAAAGCTATGGACCGTAAAGGTTGTATAAAATAGGGAAGAGGGGCAGTTGAAACTTCTCTGTTACATCCTTAACCACTCCACCTCGCGCGGCCGCGGGATAGATTGATGGGATGATTACGAGCTTCCTTGTGGCTACCTCCGTCAGTTTATTGAGTTTAAGGTATCGACGTTTATCGAAGCCACACTTGTGTGCGACTTTTGTCGTGGGACAAATTAGTATTGCCAATGACGGCAATGCCAAATTCAACTGAATTTGGCGTTGGCGTCAAAAATACGGGAGGCGCACGTCACAAATGGTTTGGAAGACCCAGCAAGGTGGCCAGCGATTACTTGCAACTTGTTGTTTGCGACATGAAAAATGGTTCTTGGCATAGCTGCGCGAAGGTGAGTACGCGAGACGCAGTTGACCGCTCGCATTGCACTCTCATATTTGTAAACAATAATACATGTTACTTTTTGAGAAGAAAGCTTTATTTCTTTCTCAAGTTACAGCATTTTGTGCGTGAAATAAAACGTTTTGCTGTACCTTTGTGGCACTACAAGTGTGAGATGCTTAGGTTTTGGGGTCACAATGGGGAAACACTTTTAACACTTCCTTGCGTAGCATGAGCCGACGCAAGCTCTAAATTTAGAGCTAGTGTGCACTAAAATTGCCTATGTTATTCTAAAACTCCCTATTTATGGTTCTAGGTCGAGTCTATTTAAAAAATCTTTTCAAGATGTGTTTTAATTTTCATTCATGCAAGTTTACATTTTGCATGTTTATGCTTTGCTTAGGCTCCTACAAGAGGCCCGTACCTCGCACGCAGAGTTCAGACGCTCCCTGGGTGCCTTCCAGACTTCGCCCGAGTACAAAAAGTCTTCACAAGAGCTGCTGGTATGTGTATGCAGCAGTTGAACCTGTGCAACTGAAAGAAGTCTAAAATCAAATTTGTAAGATCTGAGAAAATATGCACAGGACATTTATACATAAATTTTTTATTTATTTATTTATATACCTTAAGGACCCCCGTAGGGGGTATTACATAAGGGGTGGCATGCAATAAACATCAACAAAAGGGTACAATGTCACAAAAGCAAATTATGCATATAAAATAAAACAAAATCGTCAAGACAATTAGTATGCAAACAAAAACAAAAAACAAACAAGAAAACTAAAAATACCTAGAACGCGATTGCACGTATTAATTCTTTAAATTCTAATGAGTCATGAGTAGTTACAATGTTCTGGGAGAGCCCGTTCCAATCGGAGGCTGTACGTGAAAAAAATGAGTTCTGAAATGTGGTGGTTCTTGCTTTTGGACGCTGTACATCAAGATTGTGACCCGTGCGACGGTTGAGGCGTACAGAAAGAACGATGTATGATAATCGGAGGCACGGGCTGTAAAAAAATTTTTGAAAAAGAGATAAACTAGCTAAACGGCGGCGTTCAGAGAGGAGGGGGAGATTGGCACGGGTTCGAAGAGATGTGACGCTAGTAAAAGAAGAATAATCTGAGTAAATAAAACGTAATGCTCGACGCTGAACTGATTCAATGTTATTGATGAGGTAGGCTTGGTGCGGATCCCAGATAGCAGATGCGTATTCCAGTTTAGGGCGGATAAGGGATGAGTAGGCAAGTTGTTTTATGTGAGGAGGGGCCAGTTTCAAATTGCGCCTTAAAAAACCTAGAGAGCGATTAGCAGAAGATATGGTGTGACTGATATGAGTAGCCCAAGAAAGATCAGATGTAAGATGAACTCTGAGATACTTGTAAGAATTAGTTTTTTTCCAAAGGAACGCTGTTAAGGGAGTAGGAAAAGATAGAGGATTTAGAGCGATGTGTAAACGACACAAGCTTGCACTTATTGACGTTGAGACACATCTGCCATGTGTTGCACCATGCTTGGATGCGGTTGAGGTCATCTTGGATGAGTACGTGATCTGATGGGTTAGTCACTTGGCGATAGATGACACAGTCGTCAGCGAAAAGACGAACATGCGATGTTATTGATATAGGCATGTCATTAATGTAAATTAAAAAATAGAAGGGGTCCGAGGACCGATCCTTGAGGAACACCGGAAATGACTGGAGCAAAAAAAGATGATGACTGGTTAGCGGTAACAAGTTGCTGTCTGTTAGTTAAAAAGTTAATGATCCAGTTCAGAATCGAGGAATCTAAGTTGAGTTTAGAAAGCTTGTATATGAGTCGTCTATGAGGAACCTTATCAAACGCTTTGGCAAAGTCCAGGAAGATAGCGTCAGTCTGAATGTTTGAATCAAGGTTAACATGTATGTCATGAGTAAACGATGCAAGTTGAGTTTCACATGAAAAATCTTTTCGAAAGCCGTGCTGGGATGGGTTGATGAAACAGTTGTCTGACAGAAATTGAATGATGTTAGTGTAGATGATATGCTCCATTAGTTTGCATGATACGCTTGTTAGGGAGATGGGTCGATAGTTAAATAGGGAGTATTTGTCACCATTTTTGAAAATCGGGACAATCTTTGCCACTTTCCAGTCATCAGGCAGAAGACTACTAGAAAGAGATTGCGAAAATATTTTAGCTAATATCACGCTCACCAAGTCTTTCGTGTTTTTTAGAATTTTTGCATTTACGTTATCCATGCCTGCTGATGAAGAGATTGACCAGAAAAGCGCCCATCCCCCAGTTTCTTGCAATTGTTTCTAAATTTTGAGTGGGCACTTGCCTGGTATTTTACGGTATGTTGAAGCAAGACACTACTGCCTCTGTTGTGCAACCATCTTGTGCATGAATTACGTGGTGCTTTATTCAAGCCTCACAAATGAAAAAAAAAAAAAAGCCATGAAAGCTACAATAATGTGGTTCGTGCAGGTGAGTTGTACGGCCAGGGGGGCATATTCAGTGGTGTCACTAGGGTCGGCGGTACCTGGGGTGCCCGCCGCGACACCCTCCCCCCCTCTCGTGGCCGACCGCAACACCCCCCTCTTTCACTGCCCAACTGCACCCCCGTGAGCGCTGCACCCCCGTGAGCGCTGCACCCAAGGAGGTGTGTGACACCACAGGACATATCTAGCGGCTAATTGTCACGATAAGTCAGACAATTAACTAAAATTTGTTGTAATCGGTGAAAATAAATATATTGTTCCAGATGTACTCCATTCACCCTTAAGCCGAGAGTAGAAGCTGTGCCTTCAGCGCAAGCTCGCTGGCTTTTGCTGTGCTTTGGTTGCGCGTGCCTACACGTTCACACTTGTGTTAGCAAGGGCAGGAAGCTTGTGCTATAGGCAGAGCCCCTGGTCTCGCCTTAAAGGGACACTGACGGGGTATTTATGCCCGCCAATGTTTTTATTTCTACATGACATTTGAGAGCCCAACTACCCAGAACACAATTTGTGGCTTGAAATTCATTTTCTTTTCTGCCCAAAAACCGCCGATCAAGAATTTGCCGGTTTAAGTCACGCTCACTCTTTTTTCCGTGGTCACGTGCCGTTTTCTATGATTTAGACACAATTACCAAAAATAATTAGTCTTGGTCATCGAAGGCACATATTCAATATTAAAATTGAAAGAAAAATATGATGACAATTTTTTGTGGCTTCTAAAAAACTGCACATACATTGAAAAAAAAAAAAAGGTTGCAATAGTTATGTGACATTTGGTGACTTTCTCCTCTATATTTCTTCCTGTACAAGTTCAATTTCGAACAGTTGCATTTTTTTACTTTATTAAAATTTAATGTGACGTTGGAGCAAAATGTTGACTGGGTAGTCTTCTGACACCATAATAAATGGCCTGGCAAAAAAAAAAGAAAAAACAATTTTGGGGGGTGTTAGTGTCCCTTTATGGGTAGACGGAATATAGAAATTTGCTGAGCATCATTAAAAACCACTAAACAATTAAATGAGAAAGATTTGGAGCATGTGGGGCATGGTGGGGCACTGAAGTCACCACTCGTGCAATAGGTACACGGTTCGCAGAGCAAAAATGTGGATAATACTGATGTGTTCTTGTCATTTGTGCTTTTGCACTGCCAGCCTTGAGCCGGTTGCACGAATTGTAACGTTAGTGCACAACCATGCACTCCAAATCTTTCTAAAATTTACCCAGTTAGTGGTTTTCGACGGTACTCAGCAAGTTGTATGTTTATATGTTTGTTACCTCTAATTGAAAAATTGAGGAAGAAATTGTAGTTAGTTGTCCAACCTATTGCGACATTTTCGTTTATGTCCCCTTGGTTGTATAACTCGCCTGCAGAGACCATAATATTAGCGTAGCTTCTACGACCTTTAACGCATAGAGCTAGAAGCTTGTGCCGCAGAAAATCCGGTGTTGGTGTCGGTGGGGCCATAAAATCCCATAATGCTGTGTGCACTGCCACGTGTGACGTCACACGTGGCTGTGATGTCATGACCCTGTCAACCCGCTAAATTTGGCGCGAAAATTTGCAGCTAAATTTAGAGGAAAATTTCCCACCAAATTTAGCGGAAAAATTTCCCATCGAACCTAGCGGAAAGATTTCTCGCCAAATTTAGCCGAAAATTTTCCTGCCATATTTAGCCGAAGAGAGAGAGAGAGAAGGCTTGCGAAAGAGGAAATACTAATGTGTATGTCATAGCCAGAGGCCAGAAGTTCATCATTAGGTGGGGAGGAGGAGTTAACAGCTAATGGAAGGAAATGTTAAGAGAGACCTGACAAATTTAGCTGAAATTTTCCGCTAAATCTAGTGGGTTGATAGGGTCATGACATCACAACCACGTGTCACGTTGTGCGTCAAGGGACACGACATCACACATGATGTCATGTGACGTGACATGACATGTAACGCTACCGAACACGCTTGCACGGCTTGGGAACAAGTGCGGGTTGATATGAAAAGTCTTTGCAAACAGGGCCCGATAACGCTATTGCGTTCCATTCTTAAAGGCGAAGCTTACGCGTCCCCCAAATTTTTTGTAAAGTCTGTAAAGGCTATAAAAAATACCCTGTATAGCTAGCAGAGCCGCTTGAATAACAGACAAGGCTTAATCCCGTGAAAGGCACAACTGCTCACCAGCCGTGCCAAGTGCAGCACGCAGGTGCAGTTCATGGAGGATTAAAAACTTTAGGTGCATATCCAAATTGCTTCCAAATTGTCAGGATGCAGGAAATGAAAGTAGATGCTTCAAAGCTTCCTTCTGACAATTAATTTAGTGACCGTCGACACTGCTCGAGTACTTTTGAGCAGAACTTTCTTAATAAATAACAAATTAATTGTGCTAAACTTTTCATGGCTAATTATTTTTATTCAAAGATTTCTAAGACCTCTCCGAGTAAGCTCCTGGGAAATTACCACTACATCATGTTCTTTTTATGAAATTTAAAATGTCAAATTTTAAAACCTCCAATAATGCAAGTGGCTGGCGGAAGTGGCCGGCCAGAGTCATCTACGTAATAAAAGTATGTTATTAGTATATGCCATGCAGTCTTTTGCATAACTATGAAATCAGATTTTTGCTTATATAGTCATGTCTTGTTAATATGGGCCCCATTAATATTGGCCCTGTAATATGGATACCCCTCTATATAGATCAAATTTACGGGGATGAACTGCATAAATACATGCATTTTTGTCTCATTATTATAGACGACTGATATTATGGACAATTTTCTTGGGAGTAAAGAGGTGTACATATTAACGAAATGTAACCGACTTTGCAGAATATAGACCATTTTACTGAGTGCTCTCAGGGTGGCACCATTTTGTTACATCCAGGCATTTGAACAAATTGAGTGGCGTAAAAGAGGGAGAGTGCACCCAACCAATCCTGGTAGCGGACGACAAACCGGCCGCTTTCCATGTTTGGGCAGTACCCGTGGGTTGTACAAACATTTAACACTTACTCACTGCTGCCATTGTGAAGTGGTTCGCATCTCTAGAGCACTTACGCCTACTCGAGGAGCAATCTGTTGTGCTCTATTGTCTTATTTAAGTAAACAATAGGCTAGCATACTTTCGTTTGGTTACTTCAATAGTAATCGCTTTCACCATCAGTACAACCCTCAACTGCTGTATCTCTCGCATCAGCAGACAATAGAATCCTGATTATACAGTTCTGAGTTTAAAAGAGTCTTGCTTGGTTTTTGTGAAAAGCCACGCAAACATACAATTTTTCCTACTCTGGGCTCAGAAACATTAAAACCCAGATTTGTTTTCCTTCCATGTTCCCAGCCATATGTAAAATAATTTTGTTAGCCAAGAAAGCACCTTCGCGTCAAGGGTAGCTGTTTTTACTTTTTTATGAATTGCAATACACAACCTTGCACAAACATTGCTGTGTACTGTGTATTGAAGTCAATTGTGCACTCATTAGCCATTTCCTGAGTGCCGCCTATGCGTAAACATCACATAAAGTTGGGTATTTTGGTTACATAGAGACCACTACAAACATCTGCGATAATGTAAGCCCAATAAGGTCTTCATATCCAAGGCTAACAGGCAATTTGTGTAAACCCGTACCAAAAAAAAAGAAAAAAAAAAATGTGCTGCTATTTATATTAAAAAACCTGTTTTGCTTTTTTTTCATCTATACTTGTTTTCATCTCAAGAAACAAGCAAGTTTTGCACATTGTTCATACGCGGCACGAATTAGTTCTTACAAGATTCGGCTGTTGGAGGAAAAAGCTATGCTTTTGGCATTTGGATCATATATGTCTTGATAAGATAACATAGTATATCTAATCTAATATTCACCCGCATATATCTTGATTATCAACATAAAGGGGGAAATTAGTACTGCTCCACGAGTATCCCGTCTTTTTTTACTACGGTTTTTGAGGTGAAAATGGGTATAGACTTATCACACATAGTTGTTAAAGACCCTAATCAGTGCGAACAATCTTGCATAAAGCTACTGCAACTGCATGAATTTTTTGCGAGAGATGACAAACCAATCACACTGTTTACAGGGTTACATTTACTTTTCTTTTTTTATTTGCGCAACAGGTGACATCAGGATTGTGCCCAATCGGTCACTTTATTGGATATAGTAACATTTTACATTAACTTGCACATCTAAATCCGCACATTTGCGCCTAATATTGCAGAAATGACGTGATTTTCAACAGCGTTTGCACACCAACTGGATGTTTGGTACCGCCCAGTCTATGAAGCAGACAATGCGCCGGATAAGAGGAAAGAAGCCTGTTTTCCTCTCTGTTCTTTTTAGTGAAATGGTCTATAATGTTGCCCAAGAAAAATCATTTGGTGTCTGTGCTAAATATTTGTTGCGGGCCAATTTCAGGAAAAACTGAGGTCCGTGGAGAAGCAACGCAGAACCGAGAATGTGGCCGCATTCACACGTGTCGTCGGAGAGCCCCTGAGACGGGCCAAGCAGATAATCCTGCTCTCTGCCGACAAGTTCGGAACCGAGTTTACTCTACGTTCTTTTGTGAGCGTTCTTGCTCTTCTCTCACTTACTCCTCACTTTCTCATTCGACTCTGCACTGTCACAGTACCATGGGCCCTTTGTTTTCGGGTAAAACCTGATATTTTTCTGTATTTACACCCCGATCTTTTATTGAATTTGGAACAAAAATTTTATGATTTTAGTGTTTTTGGCGATGTAGAAATGTGGAGATCATTAATGGAACTTGTTGAAAGCACGCATGACAGAAGCGCCATCCCAGACTACCGAATGCCACGCTGACCTTGCTAAGCTTTGCCAATGAAAGCTTTGATACTGAGAAACCATTCTCTCGGTTAGGATACGTCTGAAGACTCTATAGCTTTATCGGGACAAATTCTGCTCATACAGACACTTATGTTTGTCAAAAAAAATTTGCTGAAAATCGAATTGACCAAATGGGCTCTTGTGCCATGTTTTAATCCGATTATTTGCACATTAATGACTTGTTTGTGTAAATCAAACCTTCCATGACCTAAAACCAATCAATACTTTTTGTAAATTATAGTTGTTGATCTTTATATATAATGCAGAGAGTTCCGTAATAGTTTCTAGAGAATCCCTATGCTTCCCCACTTACGAGCATAAAAAATACCACCAGATTTTTACCCCCCTTTCCCCCCATTCTTGGAAAATATAACACTTGACAATGAAGGGCCCTACTTACATCTAGGACAATGGTTCTCAAAACCTTTTTTTTATGTTGATGAACACTCATCTCAATTTATATTCATAGACAAGGCTTCCAGTCTCAGCATTGATGCAGTAAGGCAGTTGAGAAGCCCACATACCTTGCAAACAATAATCCACATAGTACCACGGATTGTTTGGCTCATAGCTATACATCAGTGGAGGGCTCAGATCTGCTGAAATAGTGCTGAAACTGCAGAAATGTGCACCTAGGGGCAGGAACAGCTTAAGGAACCTATTGGGATACTTTGGGGAACCCAATAGTAATTCCTCCAACAGCCACCAGGATTTTTCAGCCCTGCAGAATTGCAGTTATCAAATCTGTAGCAAGACTCGCCGATACACTGTCAGATGGGCGTGGTGTTGGCTCGATGAATGCGCAATAAGTGCAATAACCGTTGTCCGACTTTTCAGATCATGGACATGTGCCTTCTTCAGCTCGGGGACGGAAAGCCAAAGTTCTGGCAGCAGGACCTCAAGAGGAATATTGTGAACAACTTCATGAACTCTGACCCCGAATTAAGGCAAAGGATAGACAGCATCAAGGGATTTTGGTCGAGTGTGGTTGGCTTCTTTCTCTGGATTCTTTGGCTGATTGGATTCTGATACTTTGCGAAATTTAAGTGCGACATTTTTTATTCCTTAACATTTATGGAAGTCCCGTATGTTCAATGAAGACCTGTCTTATAGCAAGCTACTTTAGGGTTATAGTAAATGATGAACATGTTATTGATAGATGGCGGATTCTGATACTTCAAAAACTTTTAGTTCGACATATTTCCTTTTCTTAACATTTGTGGAAGTACCTTCAATGAAGATTTGTCTTATAGTAAGCTATTTTTTGGGTGACACTGTCTATAGTATATGATGCACAATGCTATCGATAGATGGCTACAATAAAGTGCAGATGTGATATCTTGATATCTCTGAGGATATGGTTTATCTGGATGTGGAAGGTCACAGTAATGCGAAAATGATGTATAATATCCAAACTCCTTGTTTCTGGTTGTTTTTGCTCTGCAGAATATAGTTTCTTTTGATCTATGCAATTTTTCTTATGTTTATGGTGGCTGGAGTTGCACCAATCAACTCTCTCATTGTGCTGATGAAATAAATGCTACATATTTGATTATCTTGTAAAAAGGCTCGAAATACACCTAAGCACTTACGAGTTTTGAATGCAAAAGCATGAATTCCGTTCTTCATGCCGCAGCTGCTTCTGATTTTCTCGGCACCGAGGCTGCTTCTGACCCTTTCGGCGCTGTGTGCCCGCGCCGGAGCAGGAACGGCTGAGGTGCCAAGAGGATCAGTGGGCGCCTCGACCGTTTCTGCTCCGGCGCGGGCACGCAGCGCCATAGGGTTACTCTAATTGAAACTGACGCACGACAGCTTCATAGCACTGCCGTTTTGCATGGCTTTTGCGTGGTTTCAAAGCTGAAATACCTCAAATTGCGGCTTTGGCAATTTATCTGCCGTTTGGCGTCGTCAAACATCGGCCCGCTCCACAAAACAGTTAATGCTTTTGCATTAAAAAAAATGAATCCAGAAAGCTACGAGGCTGCTGATATTGGCCTCAAGTACTACAGTTGCGATACTCCATTCACCCTGAAGCTGACAATACGGTCGAAGCTGTTCGCTCATTACACCAGTCTCATCTTTCGCCACATGATCACGCCCACTCCCATACCCATGCGCAGGGAGCAAGGTTGGGTGATGATTGGTTCGGTGGGCATGTAGCTAGCTCTCACCCTGCCATCAGCTCGGGGGTGTGCGAAGCATAGTGTGTAGGCACATTGTTTTTGTTTATCCACTGTCCCCTGTGCTCACACAGCAGGTAAGGACCAGGCATCCACAACGCTTAAACAGAATGCAGGGAACCATAGGACTGCAAGCTTATAGTCCACGAAAACTGCCTCAATTGATGAGCTTTACTTACGGAACCAGTGCCTCCCAAGGCAATGACCTCGTGCCTGTAACTTTCATGTGCTGCAAGCTAAGCTACGACAGAGTGTGGCGTCGCTGCACCAAAGTGCATATGGAGGTCGAACCTTGCAGCATCTACTATTCAGAAAATTTTCGATGCTAAGTTCTTGAGCGTTGGAGGCTACTTCCATGGTGCAAGCTCCTACATAGGGTAAGACCCTCCAAGGATATCGTCACACACACATACTTTCTTGTGCGCTACTAACTAATGGGGAATTCCCTCGGTGGATTCGGAGCGGTCCAAAAGCGCTACATGCTCGAGTGTTTTGAGCAGTCACAAACGTGCACGCAAACGGCCCTTCCAGCGTTTTGTGTCGTCGGCGCTGAAGGAAACGCAGGCGATTCTGGCGTGTGGTGACAATAGCGGATATGCAATTTCTACGCTTAACTGCGCCACAACGCTTACCTTGCTGTGTCTGCGTTGGCGGTGCTTCACGCGTGGCAGCTGTGCAAGGCGGGGAAGCGACATTTGCGGAGCAATCGCTCCGCAGCCGCTGCGCGGATTGCGTGAACCTCACACGCAGCCCGCGCTGCCTTCACAAATCGTAGCGTAAGTTACACTGCGTATCGTATGACAAATGTTGCGTAAGTTGGTACCACGTGTGTCAAAAACCAATCGAAAATCGCACTAAAAACCTTAACTTATAAAAAAACTTTTACACATATATATATATATATATTTTTTTTAATAACACATGGGTATTTGCGGTACAGAACTCGAACTCGCGTGTATGCTTTTAACGAAACCTTATTTGCGATTTGCGTTCCTTGAACACGCTCTTTCGTGGAAAATCGCGTAAAACAATTTTCGCATAATCCTACCTTTTTTTTTTTTTTTTTTTTTTTGATATTTCGTGGTTTTTTTCGCACGTGTGCTTCAGCCTTCAGTCGCGCCCACTCCTCTGTAAACGCCAAATAACGATTGATCTCGTCTGCTGCTTTTACGTTACCGAGCGCAGCTCGGGAACTAATAGCAGCTAGGATAGCCGTAAAATCGTTAGATCTTGATGTTGAAGAAGAAGAAGAAAAAGGCTTGTGAATAGTGATAAGTACGATGAGCAAAACTACTTTTTATTATTATTGATGGAAAACGGGCGCCATCTCGCAGACTCTTTGCGACTGGCGGCCCTTTGTTCTACAGCTGCCCCGGAGCGGAGCTGGGCAAGTAGGGGAAACGACTTAACGAAGTACAGCGCGCGTGCATCGTTTCTTTTCTTCTTTCTTTTTTTTTTGTTTGAATTTAAAATAGTGATACCGTGTTATTCTAGAAATATCTAGAATTCTTGGCGGTGGCCTGGTGCACATACTTAGTCATAACTGAGAGGTTTTGCATGTGGGCTTTGTGAAATTGTTTTTCTGTGCTACCAACTTGATGTGGCTTAACAAGTTCTTGTTTTGGTCAGATTCCCAATTTTCTTTGCTGCTTTTAAGTTGACCTAAGACTATTTATATTATACAGTGAGTAAGCAAACTTTTTTAAATGGGTAATTAGCTTTAGCATTGAATATCCACAGTTTATTGACTCACTAACAATTTTATGCTGATATATTATTGCCTTTAAACTAAACAGCTAACTGCTCTTGCCGTGCGCTGCTTGATGATCAAAACTTTTTATTTATTTGAATATAAATTTTTCCGCTTTATTCCAGGTTTTACAATTTGTGAAAAGACTCTTTATTTCATACTCGTAATGATTCTTTTTCAAAATTGTTCCTCTTGAATGTTCATTGATTTTGCTTCAATTATCAATATTTTAAATGCACCATACTCTTACGATGTGGCCGAACCTGTCGCGAGTTAAGACAGGCATCCGGTGGTGGCTGAACAACTCCGAGGTTTATCTACTCTGAAAAAGACAAGGTTCGAACACGCCACGTGCCAAAACGAAAAAGCACACGATCACAAGAAAAGAAAAGATATGCACGTGCTTCACACGTGACAAACATGATTACAAAATACACAAGAAAACGTTTGTGGAAAACAATAACATGGCACTGCGTTTTCCACACATACATACACATGTTTCATAAATCTATGTGATCATTTGTCTCTGAACACCTCCTGATCCTAAGTGGCTGCTTGAAACCAATGCTATCAATTTTATATATTGGATTTCAGTTAATTAAACTGCTTGACATTTTAATGGTGGTAGCTCTTGGGCATGCTGGACTAGCAAAGTAGAAAAGGCACTCTCTTTTTTAAGTATGAATGCAGGAAGTTGATAGTAACAAAGGACATACATGTGCCCCAAATTTTCTACTCCACAATGCACTTCTGGCAGCTTTTGGATGCAGATCTGGGCTTCCAAATCAACTTGCTTGCTGCTCCACACCTCTTAATGAGGCAGCCGATGATGGAAGCAGAACCATAAACACGACAGCTCTAAAAGGTGCCTCAAACACCACTTCGGCTCATCACAATGCTGTGATACAATACAGCAAATGCACTTTTGTGTTATTGCCTAGTTGGCTTGGTCTGTCAAAGCACAAGCTCCATTTCATCTTCTTTTTTTTTTGTCTTTGCTAGTTCAAAGGCTTTTTATTGATTGATTTCACCATCATTATGCGTGTCTCAATCTGTCTTTGTCTTAAGACAACTTGATGTTGCAATTTAGGAGAAGTCAAGAGCTTGCCTTCATAGCTCTGACCAGCATTCAAGGTGTACAAGTGCATGGGCGCCTTTAGCTTTGACCGCGTTGCACTAGAAAGTTCTCGCGGTGTATGGCGTAACTTCACCGATCCCCGACCTGACACCGCACCCTTTCGTTTCTTTTTGCTGTCAGCAACGAATTCGCCCGGGTGGTAGCCGAGGAGTACCTCAAATACTTCGACTTCAATCAGCGGCCACTGGATGCCGCCCTGCGCATGTTCCTGCACCGGTTCTGCCTGATCGGCGAGACGCAGGAGCGGGAGCGCGTGCTCGTGCACTTCTCCAAGCGCTACCTCGACGCCAACCCGGGAGCCTTCAAGTCGCAGGGTGAGCACTACTGCAGGCTCTTGTCCGACGTGAAGACTGTTCTCGCGTTTGTTAAAACCGCTGAAGCGTACGTCGCAGCACTAAATCCACACTAGGGACAGTGCAGTGCCAATTCGAACGCAACTTAGCACCGATGCAGGATTTTAAAAGTGTTTTATCACTAAGATAGTATGAAGTCGTCACTGCATCGGCATAGTTAGCGCTATTTCCAGCACTGACTAACACTGCTGCGGTGTACGTGTGAACAGGCCTTGAGCTTGCCGACCACTTGTTGCAGATGCGGTGCACACACTGACTTGCGCGCTGATGCTCCTCAACACGGACCTGCACGGAGAGGTAGGCACCAGTCTTTCTTTCATTTTTTCTTCGACGGATCTTGAGTCAAGTAATCCTATAATGGCTCGCACAAAGGCAGCCTAGTCATTCCTAAGCTCCCGCTCAAGTTTATATCTGTACAGTCAAAGAGCGCTTCCGTCTTGCGTGGCACTCACTTTTGAGGTGCAGTCTTGAACGTTTTGTTTGAGGCATCACCCAGCCTTATGAGATGTTTTCCCATCTAATATATTTACGTCAACAAACATGCCGTCGTCTGTGGTCCGCTTTCGGACAGTGAAGTTGTGCAAGTGAAACGACCACATTGGTATCTGTGCCAAGTGACCGAGTGTCGCTGACGCAAAACCTGCTTGTGGCACCATGAACTTTTTTTTTTTTTTTTCCGTAGCAAAGAAACTGCTGAAGGCTTCCTAAGAAAGGTATGCTATTTGCAAAGCAGAGTTAATGCTCCTTTTCTTTTAGTAGAGGCAAGGAAAAATTAACATCTTTTCCTGGGAGACTATCAAATAAAAAAAACTGACAATCTAAGTGCGTATTTTTAATTTGAACTTTGTTAAATTTGATGCGTTTTGCTGTCCCTATGAGGTCTTAATTATCGAGCTTCGACTGTGACAAGCATAACCTTTTTACGTATTCCTTCTAGCCATGGCAATTTTTCTATTTGTCCATGCGAGAAAATACTAGGGTTCAGTTTGCATGGAGGATAGGTTTTCTGGACTTTATACGGTGCTCTCCGTTTTGTTCTTGGCAGAGAAAGTTGTTTTTTTTAAATGGGGAGTTTCTGTGGGCTAACCATGGAAGCTATATTTTTTTTCTGTGCTCATCTAAATGCAGAAAGGTCCGACCACCTC